CCGAAATACGACCATGAAAGTGAGGTATGCAGTTCGTGTCTGACTTAATTCTTTATTCTTCAAATAATGAAAAATGTTCGCAAGTTATGTGCAGGCTGCCCCCGGATATCGAGCAAGAATCTAAAAGAAGAGCTCCACGACCTGAAAGTGTTTATAGGTTTCAAAAAATTTGAAAATGTTTAGAGTAAAATTTAGACTATTGAAAAGACAAAAAACACCCTGAAAATGTCTCGAATAAAAGTTGTTCGTTAATAGATACAGCATTAAAATTTTGTACACCGAAGATCAGATGGATACCAGCTCCACAATTTTATTTTATCAAATGTACTCAAAACCAAAGCTTTTATGTGTAGAGTGATCCAGGGAAATTTTTCCCACGCCAAGTATGTAATATAGAAGAGATAAAATCTACCCATTTTATTAATAAATTAATCGTCCGGTTTATTGAGACTATAGTGGAGAAATTTACATTGGAGATCTTTCGAAACCATGTTCCACATTTTGTTCAGAGTTTACTTTTTGCCCAGATTGGATTGGCGAAATCTTGGTACAGTCATTTGAAACTGCTGAGCAGCAGTTCTTCGCTTTTTCTTTCGATTACTCGGTTTATCGGAAATTTATTTCTAATTTTCCCGACTATTTGCCGCCAAAATTGAAATAGTTTTATCCTGCTTCTATGGTCTATATAATCCATCAATCATACGTAGCTCCAAATTATCTTGACACGCAATTGTGAACGATTGAACCTTCCACCTCATGTTTCACTACCAGCAATGTTTAACGTACACCAGTGTGACAAAAAGTAATGTTTTTTTCCATAAATCCTCATTTATTCTTTTTTTCGCAGGTCAAGTATCTTGACTTTCACTTGAATCAAAATGTGGCCAAAGAGCATAAAAACTGGAAAAATGCCAGAAATCTGGTACCATTATTTGCAAGCGTAATATTGCTTTCGACTCACGGTTTGAGTGGTGGAATCGACACGGTGACTTATCTTGCACTGATCTTTCAACGACTCAAAATTCCAATCAATGGCAGTTTGATTGGAGTGGTTTTTGCCATAGGACAGGTATTTATTCCTCACTTATTTTCATTAACAAATTTCGTTCATATCTTTGATAATAAAGCAATAAAAAAGTCTTTAATTGAACCCTTGCATGTAATGTCGAAATTTATTATGATTTTTAATTTTTGGCCAAATCTGTTGTGGATTCCGCCTGAAAAGTTTTCCTCCCACTTCCTTTCAGGTCTTTGTGCTGGTCGTGTTTGCGTTGGTTGTGGATAGGATGCCACGAAAATTCTACTTGATTTTTTCGGCCTGCTTAACAATTGCTTTGCTCGTTGCGACATGCGTTTGCTTCTTCTTTGAAAAACGAATTTTGGAGATGAGCGGCATGAACTGGGTGGTTGCTTCTTTCGTCATTGGATTTCTCACGGCAACAAACTTAGGTGTCGCTCCATTAGGGTATGATGGGGTCCAATGAACCCTGGATTTCATTCTCAATCACATATTCAAAGAAGTACAATACAAGATCAGTAAATTATAACTGCGCAATTAGGCGCTATGCTGGGTTGCTCTTCATCCTCGAAGTTTAAAGATGTCTTCCTCGAAAATGGGCAGAGGATATGTTTTGATAGAATGAGACAGTGAAAACTCTAGTGATGTCTTTATAGGCAACGGAATATCTTGTATTCTCACTCCATCCTCGCATTTGGAACATTATTCGTTGTCCATAGTTCTAGCCTTGTACTTGAATCATGTCAAAGCGATGAATATTTCATAGAAAATGTACCGTAATTTTGTCGGGAGTTTTAATCATAATTTAGGTGCAGGCCTTGCTGCAGACTCTTCTAATTGCATCAATCAAATCTCAAGTTTCGTCATGTTTAACATCGGAAAATTATATCACATGATGCGCGATAAATTTTGGATCACCAATGCAATGTAACATTTGCAAACATTTCAAAGAAAATGTCAAATTTGATTCCAGGATGTAAAATGAGGATTCCTCTCTACCTTCGCTCAGCAATTCTCAACTCCGGATTTGAGATGTTTTGCTAAATGTGGCAAACGTCAATCGTCAACCATATATGGCTAAAAAACTTTTACTCTAATCCTTCGAATTAATGGCTGAAAATTTGGAACTAGTGTTTGTGTTATCTGCCTAGAAAATACATTTATTATGCTGAGATGATGAAACTTTTGAATTTCAACGAAATAGAGGTGTAACTCATTTGCCAGATGAGAAAAATAGTTATCCTTGTGACTTCTTCTCAAATTTACCCTCAAAACTGCAGAAATTCTGCGGTCGTAGGAAATGTGAAATATTTTGTTGGCTATGCACTTCTATAACAGGCAAGCCTCAAATGTTCTCAAAATATTCTAAAAAAAGGAACACGGTAATAAAAACCATGATCGGATCCCAATACTGTACAGAGCCCACGTCAAATTTCGAAAGAAATAAATAAACCTGTGTAGACCATACTTTTTTAAATCTTATTTATTGAGTTTTAAAAATTCTATACGAAACACGGGGTTGCCTGCTGTCTGCCGCGCGGCCTATATTGTACTTGAGAGTCGAGAATAAACAGGTTCATTCTTTTGTGAAGTTGATGTAAATCATCTTATCTTAATAAGTTAATCAAAATTTTACCTGGACTGTAGACCGCCCGAGTTTTTAATCGCCGGAAGAAGTATTCTCCTTGAACTCGAACGTGATACATAGAAAAACTACATAGATTCTAGTACTGTTTGCTACGGGACTCAATCAACCTTCAGTCTCTAACCTGTCGTACTAAATCGTTAAAAAAATTAATCCTGGTTCCCAGGTGGGTGGTTTCGGCAGAACTCTTGCCGACAACGGCAAAAAAAGTCGGACTATCAGTGCTTCACGGAGCCCGATGGTCTACTGGGGCCCTGGTCACCTACCTTTTCCCAATCGTTTCTGAAATCGCCGGAATGCAGTACGTGTTTCTCTGGCACACTCTCTACATGGTCTTCTACTTGGCCTTTGTCGCATTCTTCGTCCCGGAGACCAAGGGCAAAACCGAGCCTGAGATACAGCAGTTAATTCAGCAACAAGTGCCTTGGCTTATTTCCCCACAGCCGTTGCCACCGCGGAATGACCCAGCTCCGACAGTCGAAGAAGATTCAACAAATGAATGAAGAAATAATTCGCAAAACCAAACATGGAAAAATGTCCCCTGCGATTTTGAATTGTGTTTTTGAAACTCGACCGTATTGAGATTGAAATATTGATGTCTTGCCTACGCCAGAGCAGTTGATTAAATGCATATTTCTTACATTTTTCTGCTCTAAATTTTATGATATACGAATATCTTTCGCGATTACGCGGAAATTTTGGTATGAATTTTCTTAAAAATAAAAGGTGTCATGTTAATGCGTGAACAGTGTGATGAGCATCAGTGTTGGAATACTCTAGGCTGGGAGGGGGCATTGAATAGGTCAGGTAGGTCACGTCGGCAAGGTCAAGGAATTTGACTCTCTTCTGGGAATGCCGGTGTTGAAGCTTAATGCTATTGAAAATGCCGCGCTTTCTCATATTTATATTATTCTCTTGCTTTTTTATGCTGGTAAAGTCCTGAGTCTGGTAGGATACATCCTAATATGTAACCGTTATCTCTTTTTCAGTTTTGGTACTTTACCCCTTGGCGCGTTTTCTACGACGGGTTGGTTCATAAGTTTTGAAACTTCTTAAAATAAATCATGTGAAGTTTCTACAATTTTCAAAAAATAGTTTTACTCGCCAAAAATTGAGTTCTGTTAGTTTATTAGGCACCCAGTGACTTATTCTGGCTGCTGTTCGCGACAGTGAAGAACGACCTGATACGAATGGAATTTATTTTGAGGACAGGGACAGCCTCATTTATTCCGTCAAAGAGCAGCTTATAATCAACTAACGAAACTCTATTTTTGGGCACTGTTTTGATTGTTGGATTTATTGCATAAAAATGCATTAAAATTGGCGGAGAGTATGCTTAACCGCCCTAACGTGTTGCCAAATGATGGGGCTATGCGAGGAAAGACTAAAAATTTGAATTGTTAAAATTCTTTTGGATCTATTAAAAAAAAAAAGTCTCAGGTCTTCTGAACCAATTCTCGTTGGTGATTCTTCCTTTCTGTCTGCAGTTTGAGAGGCGTCATAGATTTTCTGCTGCCGGAGATCCCAGAAAATGATCTTTGCTTGACAAATATCACAGAAGAGAGTAATCATTGTACAGTAAATTCATGAGTATAGAATTATTTGTATTCCCATCTTTTTTATGATTTCACGTGCGACTCCCGGAGAATGGATCCATGTGACGGAACCTATAGCAGGAATCAGAACCGCGGAGTAATTTCAAGTTTGGCTTCAACTTTGAAGTTGCTGCATGCCTATGGGAAACTTCTCTGTGTACAGAGAATAGTAGTGTGTCTCATTTGTTCATCTGCTGTCTGTGTGACGCAAGTTCGCCTTGAACGGCTTGACCGGCAAAAGTCATCAGAAATGTGAGTTTCTCCGCTGGATAATCGCTTTGTCATCCTGTGGCTCCGTCGTTCCGTCTCTTACACATGACATCCCACATACCACAGGGAAACTTCCACAGAATTTTTATATTGTTAAAATTTTGCTGCGCATGAAAGTTTCCCCTCCTATAACCACGTTTCACGTATCCTTGAAACATACGCACGACTATACGCTGTATAATTTTTTTAATTTATTATTTTTTCACTGCGCTCTGACTTCGAAAAAGGTTCTGCCTCACAAATTTCCTCATTCTCACGCAGTGTCGAGTCCGAGGAGCAACGCGTTGTAATTTTCCTCCTTTCGCTCGGACACATGCGTTGACAGCGGGACGAAAACTGAGGGGGCGGTGGAAAACTCTGTCGGACGGAAATTATTGGCGAACAAATTTTCCACTTATGCGATGAAAACCTGTGTTTATTGTCACAAGCTGTGATGTTATTACGTGTCCGCTACGTGACCGTGTAGTGATCGTCATGATAGTAAAAAAAAAGTGGTAATCAGCCGCGGAGTGAACCGCGTGGCGGCGCTGGGAAAATCTCGAAATGAGTCGGTACTGCAAAACTGCCTGAAGCTTTCTCAGTACATTGTGTGACAGTGGTTTTTCTTCCTCTTGTCGAGACCGATATATATATATTTTTTTTGTGAATGCCGCATTTACTTGAAAATGAGACACCTTCCATTAAATAATATCTGCACTCAAAATTTCTGTATCGCGTTTCCAACGAAATTATATTCGCCAAAAGCTAAAAAATATATGTTTCTTTTTTAATGCCAAAATAAAAAGATGACTAGAAAACTCGTTTAATGACATCGACGGACATTACCTAACCGGAAATGACGAAATTGTTTAAGACATAATCTGTACTTCTGGCATGTTAGCGCATGGCAAAACCAAAATACAATTGCGAAAAACACGTGACGACTTATTTGCATAAATAATTTTTTGAAATTCGATTTACAACTTGACTTTAAAGCATGATAAAGCTTAACCAATGACAGTAAAATTTTTGAAAAGGCAACTGAATGAGCTTTCAAGTGGTATCCATAACACTTTAAGGGATACAAATGCTAAAAAATCTGGTCATTTCTTTCTTACCCTTCTTCAAAAATCAGCAAAGTTGAAGTAAAAATTATATGCATTGCAGTAGGTAAGCTACTCTAGTGTTTTACTACGGCTATTTCGACTTCAACGGCGATTGAAAAATCCATGGGTCTCATTTTCATCTATATTTTAATTGCCCAGTAAATGTGATGAATATAACAATCATTAAGTTCGCGGTGACCGATTTACCGCTAGAATGCAGCAACTCAGAAATGTCAAGACAAATTCTTGAATCGAATTCCAAAAAAAAAACTTCAAAAGACTCCAGATTTAGTTTGCATCAAAGCTCAATATATTTTTAACCTCTTCGAACATGTTTAGACCGTATACTGCAACGATTATAGATTAAACCGTATACTATACAGCAAAATTTTTAAGATATCGCATTTTAAAAGCTATTATTTCCTTCCTCCGACAATTTGTTCAAACGACACATTTTTAGAGCCATGGCAAATTGTATTATCTCATTGAAAGTTGAGAATATGAAACAAAATGAGTCGAAGACCATCGAATCAGAATTCAAATTCCGCTTTCCATGCTTCGTCGTTTCATATTGATATAGCGTTTGAAACCTTCACAAATTGTTCCTTGGTACCTTTGTGAGTGCCTCGGGTTCCATACTTATAACGGATTCGGCAATTACCATCAATTAGCGGTGCTTCGGAGAGAGGAAAAAAAGAGTTCTCCATTGTCCTGAAGTTGAAATCGATTTGGTGCATAAATACCGGTGTTCCGTTTTATAGTCGGCAGAACCACAAGGATACCCATTGTGGGCGAATTAGCGTTTTAAAAAAAAGTAAAGGGCTGCGGAGGATGATGCGTGAGTCGCTGTGAGTGCCACGGGAAAACAGAACAACTACAGAACAGGCAGAATAAGGAGAAGAAGAAAAAAGAAAAAGAAAAAGAGGAGCAATAACGGAGAAGGCGTACCAGGAGCCGGTCGGTGGTTCGGGTTATCCTCGATTACTCTTCCCTTTCCTCATCATGTCGGGATCCGTCGGAAATCCGGCTAACAAGGTTGCCATGCCGTCCGGGATCCCCATCAATCACTTCAAGCAGGTTTTTTGAATACTCCAACTATATTGCCCCTATTTCGACTCACGCCCCAGGCAGCAATTACGCATTGTCCCGCAAAATCATGCGTTTCGGGTTTCCGGAAAGTACAGGCGGGCTCCCAGGGATGGAAAGATATAGAGTGTGGGCGCAATTACTGTACTTCCAACGTGCTGGGACCGTTTCTTTTTTTAAATGCACGTTTCGAACGGAACTGGAAGATGAAGACCTGCCAACGAAAGGAGACACTTTTTATGGATGGCACGGATAAAAAGGCTCAGGCACCCGGAAGTTGAGGAAATTGCCTATCATGATACTGTTCAAAGGGAATGAAGACGTGGGAAAACGCGTGGGGTACCGTTAAAGTCCAAATTAATCAAAAAAGTTCATATCTGCTTCTGGAAATATTGAGATGCCCAAAGTCAGCAGTTTCTGAAGTAAATTAACTCTAAAAAAATACGCAACAGGAATGTAAGTTATTTCTAAAAAAAATATGTATACAGTACTTCGCTTAAACCGCACAGTAAACTGAAATTTCGCAGCTTCAACAGAAGACCTGAGCTAGAAGAAACCCAAATGAAACGAGAAGAATTTCCAAAATCCATTTCCAAATTCATTTCAAAAATGAAACGAGAATGCATGTGACTTTTTTAAATCATTCGCAGAATTCCTCGGCATTTAAAATTTACTCAAATAATGTCAGTTTTCATGGAGTAAATATACTCGTATGTAAAAGAAAACCTGCCATTTAGAAAAGCTGAATGAAGTTTACCAACTTCCAATAATGCATTGATGAATCAAATCAAATTACGTGAACAGAAGAATATGCCAATCAGATTCATAGGTTTCCTATACACGATATGTGATATTGTGGGGGAAACATACGGTCTATGAGAAAATGAATTTTTTCAAATGCTCATTACGTCTGTAATATGCAAAATTTTTAAATTATACGTTCGTCTGCGTATCGAAGATCTGCCCCCTAGAAAAACAAAGAAACACAATCTGGGAAACTATCAGCACTGTGAAAAACACAAAATTTTACAAGAATAAAAATCTTCCAAAAATATAATATTCGGGTGCAATAACTTGGATAGTTGTTATCTTGCATGTGATGTTTTACATTGTAGTTGAACTTTTTTTTCGAAGAGTGATTTTTCCTCATATCATCCATCCATGAACTTTTGCGAAAACATGTTTTGCCGGCGTGTTCTCCAAAACAAACCCTAGTACACTGTATAACTTTCAAATTTTCAGGTAAATATTTTCGGGAAATTTAACTCTGGCATTCTGGAGAATCTTTATCAATGCGAGAATATTCGGCCGACGGGATAAAAAAATGAAAATATTTTTTATCTTTGAAGACATTAATTATACGTACTGTATCGAGAGCTGGCTTGCCTTAATTTTCTAATTTCGAATTCATAACTGCGTTGGACTGAAAAAAATACATTTTACAAGGTAAGTTCGCATACAAGGCGTATTTCGAATTTCAAATCACGAGAAACGGTTCGACATATAAATACATGGCAGTTTTGGTTTATATTTTTGCATTTTGGCACGCATTAAATAAGAACGTCGGTTCTAGATAGCTTGTCTGTTGATTGACATGGCACTCCAT